TGTTGACTTAGTTTTACTTTCCAGTGGATTACTGTCTCTAAAAGCCAACAACCAAAATAAGAAACAAAACAGCTCAGCTCAGCTAAAACATGATTATCATCAGAACTGGAGTATGGGTGATTTTATTTTTACCTGACAGCAGCTTTGAAAGTCATGTTTTTCCCTTCTTTGTTTCAGACATCAGTGGACTTTGTCCATGTTTTTATCAGATGTTCTGTGAGAGAACATCTTGTTCTCATTCTTTCTGCTTCACATCAGCATTTTGCAGCCAACCCAGAGTCAGAGAAAAGACATTACTCTAAAGATGAGATTAGCACATGCTGAATTTAATAATTTATATGTTCTTCTATGTTAAGAAATTAATCACTGGGTGTGTGTAGGCTTCAACAATATCAGCCAGTTTCATACAGACAGCAGAGCGGAGCCAAGCAAATTGGCTTCACATTCTGCCTTTGTAGTAAAGTGGTTTTAGGTTTGTGTAAAACAAATTAATAATGAGAATTTGTGATATCTGTACAGTTCAGAAATTGTAATTTATACTCAAGCATAAGCAGAGCTTTGGGAGTTACTGCAGATGCAGAAAGCACCAAATCATTCACCATTTTTTAAGAGCACAAGAAGGAGTCAGCTTTTTTTAGCAGTTGCCTAGCAACGCAGTTGTGTGTAACCACTTGACTGCTGAGCATATTGGATGATCACCTTTACACATCAGAAACATCTCATGAGTTCCACTTGAACGGACTCTGTCTCTGGGTTGACCGGCTCTTACAGTACTAACAGCTGACCATACCAACCGCTTCATTTCATCGTCTCATCTGATAAAACTCCAACCAGCGTCTCATTTACACTCATCTACAGAATCACTGTTGCTAAGATTTATGACTGTGCTGCTGCAAAGTGGATCATCTGGAGAGTATTGTTCCAAAATGTCATTGTTACAATATCTGATTGATTAAAACAAACATGTAGCAATGTGAATGATTGTTGGTCCAGGTGAGATAATCAGGCCAAATGTTAACCCATTTATTGGCCATTGATTGACAGCAAATGGCTTTAATGCTGAACCGACTGACCTGATTGAGATAATAAACTTCACTTGTGTCAAGAAATACAATATAATTTAGTTTTAAGGTGGCACAACTGTATTAACACATGCTTCACTTACATACATAGTAGGAACGTTGTTGCTTGATTTTCTTAAAATTACAAGTTGATATTTCTGCTTGAAAATTTTGTTTGATTCACATAATCTTTGAATTTGTGCACATTTTAACTGGACTTTAGTTTTAAACTGAATTTTTATTCATATGTATTTATTTTTATTGTATATTTTTGCATATATAATGCACTTTGGAACAAAACTCTTCTTTCGCTGTCATTACATTGATTATTGTCATTGTCCAATTGTTCAAACTGAAGTTCTACTGCACCACTGATCATTTTATTGATTCATGTTTCTTTGCCAAACATCACTGCTTCCTTCTGCTAATTTATAGCTTTGATCATCACTGGTATGTGAAGGGGAACAACAGGCAATTTGGGGGTATTTGTGTTTTTTGAACGGAAATGTGAAATAGTAGGAAAGAGTGAAAGACGTTTTGGCACCTGCTTCCCCCCAGTAAACCTCAATTTATGTCAACATTTTATATTTTACATGGTATTTACATCCAAACATTTGACTGTTGTTCTTCCTTTATTTACCAGGTAATGAATGGAAATTAATGCAAGTCGAGGTGTGCTGCGCAGTAGTCAGTAATAGGATACATTTGCTGTTTTTCAACCCAGACCATACTGAAATGTTGTTTACCTTATGAGAAATGAACCTTCTGCTACAGCTGGTCACAGGACTCAACACAAGCTAGTGGAGAAATTTTGCCATCCCTCAATCCATTCAGACTTCAGAGCCTAGATGAGTAGCCCCAGTGTTTTCTTTCCCCAGCGGCTCCCCAGGTGATCCTAGGTCAGTTCGGAGCTGTAGTCTCCCCAGCAGGTCAAAGTTTTACCTGTGAATGTCCTCCCAGTCTATTGTGACCATCATGCATACACACTTCTTTTAATCCACAATCTAATTTCTTCAGTTGGTTAGAACCAAGATTACATTTTAAATCAAAAGCTTTCATCAGTGCTCAGAGCGACCACTCATGAATAAGATCCTGATCCTGGATTGACGACACTGCTCTTAAGTGTATAGGGAATGGTATCAAGTCGAGGTCAGCAATCCTCTCCTATATTGAAAAGAGCAGGGGTCTCATTTATAA